TCTTTCCCTCTATGCACCGAGGCTGCCTCCAGTCTCACAAGCTACGGAGGAGTCGCGTTGCAGGGGGAGGGGCACGTGTAATGGTGGGAAGGTAGCATTAGGGGTGAGGAGGAGGGGTTGTAACGGGAGCGTGACGAAGTCTAGCCTCCGGTTAATTTGCTGTCACACGGGTTTTAAGGGTGAAGGCTGTGAAGACATAGATGCTGAGAAGGACTCTGTGCCCCCCCACCCCACCCCATAGTGATCATACAGGACGAGAGAGAGAGACCATGTCAGAGTTAGATCAAGAATGGACATGCTGAAGCATAAAGGCAAGAATGTGAAGCCTAAAGAAACTAAATGACAGGGACAGTAAGGGGGGCACTGGAGGAGGGGGGAGCAGAGAGAGCAGGAGGAAAAACAACCAGTGAGATGCAACCTCTCTGATTGTGTGTTTGTGTTGGAAGAAATGTGTGCATGTTTAAGACCCAAAGGGTTAAAGAGGTGTGCTAAGGAGGCACATGCCATCACACATAAACTGAAATAATTGAATACATGTGTTTTCAATGTGATGCTCATGTTTACAGTTACATATGTGAACGCAATATGGCAGCATCTACATCATCATTATCTCTCTCATATGACAGCGCTTCACTCGAGGCGTCAAACACCAGCCGTGAACAGAGCAGCTACAACGTCACACGTGATCACTGCAGCCCTCACACCTTCTCACAACATCTACCTGCGCCGGCCCAACAGCAACAGCACAGCCAGAACAAACCCAACATCAAATCGCACTCTCACCTTCGCTGTACAGAACATGGCGGCGGGCAGCTCTGACCACCACAGTCCAGGTTTTCGTGATCCGTGGCCCCGGTGCTTCCAACACTTCCAGCATGAGCTTCAACTGTCCAAAGCTCACAAACTGACATGTGGTGTCCAAATCTCAGTTGTCCATATGGCCCAACTGTCTGTCCATCTACTGTATACTCTCCTGTGTGATCATGACACAGAACGGCCTCATCTGACTCTCAACTAGTGACGTGTGGGTTGGCATGTAATCAGTGTTGGCCCGGGTTCATCAGAGCTGCGGGAGCTGTGCTGACCTCAGTGGACAGAATGTGGCAGCTTCAGCTTGTGGAAATACAGATATCATATTACCTATATGGGAGAAAGCACCAAGTGTGGTTTGGTGTTTTGGCATGGGCGCAAATGTGGGTTCAGACTGTTGGTATGTGTCCCTAAGGTTTGGTTGAATTGATCCTACCAGTAGTTTACCAATCTCATGCCATCTAGCCATTTTAAGGCCACGTAGTGTTAATGGTACTGTAAGGTCTATGCATTGCAATTGCAAGGTTATTTTCTGTAAAACATAGATTATTTTTATAATGAGTGAAGGAGAACAATATGATAGTCAGCCATGATCTCAACCCTCACTTTCAAACTGTATTAGACTACCTACAGTCTGGCAGAGTAGGGGATGACTGGCAATGAATCTACATCAATAAGTATTTATGTTTCCTATGTCACACAACTGAAAACATCTCGAGTGGACAAAACTAACTTCAGACAATATTATATTTAAAATGACATCTTGGTAGCTGAGTTGTAATTGTTGCTCATTTTACAGTATTAAACAACTTTATCACTGCTGGTGAAAATGCTGGTGATTCCAAAGGGAATCAGGGGCTCAGGTCATTTTTGAAGAAGAATCAAAGGATAAGTAACAATTGAGCTTAGCCACTAAGAATCTTCTGTAATCAATTCAAATATTTATTTTCATATTTACTATTTGATTCCACCTGCCTCCCTTTCCATAGGGCAGAATTATTACTGTGTATGTGTCATTAAGACACAGGCATTATTTATGAGGTAAACTGGCCACAGCTTGTGCAACTAATTCATTTGGTAATGTCATGCATCATTTTATTTTGGAAGTCCTGTCAGCAACAGCCTGAACAACACAGAGACAGGTCAGTGAGCTGAGCTCTCATGTCATAGTGAAATACTTGACCCCAAGTCCTGGCACTTAATGAAAGCAAATACAAGGAGCTTTGACATAAGGATGTGTTTGCTGTGGCTCAGTTATGAAGCTTCCGCTGTGTTTTCTAACAATCAAAGGACAACAGAGGTACAGAACATGGCTCAGCACATACATAGCTGGTTTAAACTACGCACTACCTACAGGCTTTATACACTGTTTATTACAATATGTGTCTTTTAAAAATGTCATACAAAGTCTTTGTAGGGAGGAGGTGGGTGATGTCTCACCAAAACAGTGTGTGAGTGATGTGTGTTTGGTTGGAAATAGTCACTATAGGTGTCAATTAAATGGGCTGTACTTACAGAGGCTTTTTCACTTCGCTGCTGACCTGGCAACTTGGGGTCAGTGTCTTGCCCAAGGACACTTTTGCAGGTGGACTGAGGAAAACGGGAATTGAACCACTGACCTTGCGATCAGGGGTTGATCTGCTCTACCCCTACAACCAGAACAATTTTTTCCCAGCCTTCATCATGTGTTTAAAACAGTATGACAAAGGTCCCCTAACCTTGACAAAATGGAGCTTTTAACCCAAACCTTAACCATAGCATAGTTACGTCATAGAACAGATGAAGTTTTCGGCAGTGATTTGTAACAGTTTAGGAAAGCTCATACACCCAGCGTCCTGTTGATATGGGCATCTGACTGAAACACTTCTGCAGGACAAATTATGCATTTCCTTGTTTAATTTAGAAAACTGGTTGATCAGCAAATCTGTTTGATTCTTTTTTCAGCTCTACATAGGACCATAAAGACAAATACAGTAGCCACTGTTTAACAACTTCATTAGTATGTCAGACCTCAACAAAACTGATATTTGGAACTGCTAAATGGCTTCTTTCAGATTAGGATATACCTGTTTCTTCATGGTAGGTTTCCTTAGAGAAACGCCAGGTGTCTCTGCAGACTGGCTGGTCTTTCGACTGCTGTGGCATTCATTGGCTGAGGACAAACAAATTGTTAATTACACATTACTGAGTGACGTGACAGCTAGAGTCTTACTTTTATACAGTACTTAATAATGAGCAGATGAGGAGCCAGCATTCAAAAATTCATTTCAGTAGCAGCATAAAGGTCATTTTCTACTGAGATGGTGATATGTGATGTCCTAATCTTGGCGTGTCCAGACTGTCAGATGTTGCTTTTTCAGAGTAGACAGACACTTATTTGTCATTAACTCCAAAACCTTTTTTTTAAGCTGTTCGTGGTACTGAATTGTTCTTAATTCAAGTATGTGAAATGTGCACCCTGTGCCTTTAATGGTTCCTGCCTGTGATTCATGAGCCATCTACTTGTTGCATATCAAATTGGCCTATCTCCAGCTCAAGGTAAACACATAAGTGCTACAGAGAGAAACCCCTGAGGCCAGACATCACAGCTGTGGACGCTGGTCAGAGCAGGACCAGGTCTGCACGCCTGCAGAAAAAGTGGAAACTCCAAAAATAGAGATACCGGTCACTTTGCTTAAAGGAGAGAAATAATCTATGACCTTCTGCGATCTGTTGGTGAAATTCAACACCAACAGGTCTCGCTAGGTCATTTTTGCACAGAGGAGAGCAGAGATCTATCAGAAACACAGGGCGAAAATACATAGCACCGCATCATACATACTGAAACATTAACTGTACTTTATATGCTTTTGTGTTGAAATGGGACCTTTTTAACCCCTTGTCTAATCCCCTGAACACATACTGTACAGACTCAGACACTATAAAGCCAGGTTGCCATTTAAATCATGAAAGGAACTGCTAAACACCATTGGGACAAAATCCCCATTGATTCAAGACTCAACATTTCCTCTAGTGATGCCACACAAAGAAGAAGATTTCAAAATTATACTAACGTACAACACAGAATCATCAACCTGGATGAAACATGTAACACTTACGATTCCCTCTAGTCCATCTCAAGTGTGTCAGTGTGCCTCAGAAAGGGTCAGAAAAGCTGAGCACCATGGCTGACATCTAACACAGTCAATATGAAAGAAATTTAACACGATGAAGTACTTTGTGCAAAGTTGAATTAGATGTTGAAGTAAATACTTGAACCCTGTGAGAGGCAAGAGAGAGTCTGCTGCTGTGAGTTCATATGTGCAAACAATTAGGTGTGCAACTAATCATTTAGTTGTTTATTTTATAAAATGTCCAAAAGTAATGATAAATGCCATTCATGGTTTCCCTGAGCCCCAGCAGATGTTTTTAAATGTCTTGTTTTGTTGGACCAACAATCAAAGAGCTTACAGTGAGCAGGGGAAAAAACTGGCCATTTGAAAAGCTGAAAGCAGCATGTTTGGCATTTTTACATAAAAGACAAAGTAATTGTGTGGTGGCAGAGGACATCTGACATACACGCTTCAGCTTTATATTTAATACTCTATTGGTTCATTATCGTACTCCTCTAAAACTGTCAGATTCACAGTGGTCATGGAGATTCAGCTGCATTATTCCAGTAGTGGCTAATGCACTGTAGCCTCAAGCCACAAGCCTCCAGCAGAGATGAGGTGCCGGTTCCATCATGCGACATGCAGCTTCTTCTGGAGCCACACAAGCCTGAACACTTGTAAACACACCCTGATGTATAGGTGGAGTTCCCCTCGAGTCAGTGAAGCTGTCTATACTGGCTGCATAACATCTCACATTTCACTCATATCTGATGCGATATAATTGCAGTCCAAAGTATATTGTTGCATTCACCTATCCCTTATCTACACCATTTATCCTGTAGAGAGTCAGAGGGACTGGAGCCGGTCCCAGCTGACAGTGGGAGAGAGGCAGGGTTGAAACCCAGAACCAGCTTGCTCTCAGGCGACACTGCTAACCACTGTACCACCAGTTTTTTCCAATGTAGAGGCTTAGCTCTGCTGATTGTGAACTGGTTTGTGAGCTCTGTTAAAACACCTCTCAAAGCACAGCAGTACAGTGGCTGAACAGGTCTACTTATAGAGGACTGAAGCTGCTCTGCCACTAATTATCTCCTTTCTCTGCACAGCTGGAGTAGACAAGGTGTCAACCTACGCAGACATATCTTGTAAAACTGTCTTCTTGTAGTGCAGCCCTTCAGCAGGTACAAGAACAACTACTAAAGAATGACCTTAGGAAAAATGTGTAGTATTTTCCAAATTCCATTTTGTTTAATTGTATTGACATTTTAAAAGCCAACAACGACTTGAAGCGTTTGTGTATGCTTTCATGCATAAGCTATGTGGATTCATGATAGTGAGGCATCAGCAACTCAGTCTTATCTACTTCCGTTTGGATGCTGCATCATTTTTTTCTTCTTCTCTGGCCCAGTAGGTTTCCTGTCCAGAGGCTGAAGCAGATGACCAGGCGACTCAAATCTGGCCTTCATTAAACGTCTCTCTTTCTATGAAGGATCACACTTGTCTTTGTGAATGTTAACAAACTCCCTTGCAGCTGACCACCTCCCTGCTTGTTCTTTTTCTTGTGTTTAGGCCACATGCCAGCAGAAAGAAGAAAGCCCATCTGTTATGTACTGCGATATCATTAGCAAGGATGCTGGCAGCATTGCAACATAATAAACCACTCATTAAGAAAATGTAGGATTTCCTCCAGAAGCAGTAACTGAGGTTCATGATAATGTTGGTCACAGCAGAGAATGGATTACAGGGGACTTGTCAAAACAAAACTGTGTCCAAAAAATGGAACACAGAACATATAGGTTCAGTGTTACAGTACCATATGGTGAGGAGTTTTGGCATGTCAGTGGTCTTTGTGGGGCCTCAGCTGACAAGAAGGGACGTTGCCATGTTTTTTCTGGAACAATATGAACAAGAACAGGTGAAAAAGAAAATGTGGCCCCAGTTTCACAAAGCAGTAGCTGCTTCACAGTAAAATCTGCACATTGACATTTCTTTGTTTCAGCTTTAATAGAGAAGTTACATACACACCCAAACTGGTAAGTTAAGTAAAAATGTCAATAAGGTGCACCAGGTAATGTGAATACTTTAGACAGTAGCATTCTCTGTTGGTTCATAAATCTTCTTTCACCTTTTTCAGACCTGATAATTAATTATTTCAGTATTTTTTTAAAGCAAAAATGCCGATGATGCTACGATGGGTCCAGATTCTATGTGAACCATTGGGGTTGGGTTGGGGGGGGTCTACATACAGAACACTCAGAAAACCTCTTGTGCAGTAGGCAGGTTTATAAGCTTAAGCTAAATGTAAATCACGCTTCACATCAGTTGCTACTTAAAGAACAAACATCATCACACACAATTAAATTTTTGGAAGCCTCAGCTGATTCTTTCGTGTACCTTTGCTGTTAAATGTCACAGACTGAAAACAACAGGAAGCTTTGTAATACTGTGAAACATTCTGGCATCTTTGTGACACACACACACACGCGCACACAGTCTCAGGAGCAGCTTTCTGAAGCTCCATATTCAAGCATGAAACAACAACCAAAATAAAAAGCGACTGCCGCAGCATATGGCTGCCGAATGTAAAAATAGCATTTGGATGTCTGTGTGTGTGTGTGTGTGTGTGTGCATGCCCAGCATTACTCACACTGTGGGGACCAAAACCTGTTTACACACACACACACTGTTTGGGCTCTGTCCTCCACATACAGATCAGATATTGGCTCCCACCGTGTCAATGACTGAACTTTAGAATGATGACATGGTTTAAGTTTAGGGTATGCTTAGGGTTCAGCAAGTAATGTTATGGTTAGAGTAAGTCTCCAGGAAATGAATGCAAGTCAAGGTAAAGTTCCCCACTAGGAATGAAAACTAATGTGTGTATCTGTCCACACATCGTGAGTCCAGGTGCAATCGGAGTTGTTGTTGATACAACCTTGGTCTGTCCTGTGGGAGCCTGTGCTGTCCCATTGGGTTCCTTCCCAAATGAGGTGTAAAGCACAGTCACACTACAGCAGAGGCTTGTGAAAGGTTGTCTGCCTCAAAAACTTCTTTATTACACTCCAGTCTCTTGTTAGGTAGCAGCAAATTAGAGCAGAAAACTAACAAAAGAAACATCTTTTCATCTGATGCCTCAGACCTCAGTGCTGAGGTACTGGCTGTGCCACTTGGCCTGAAGTGTTGCATGTTTAAGGTAATCTAATTAAAGTGGATCGAATCTGCAGGCCTGTCTCCACATGAATGGGCTGCTGGGGTGATAGGGAGGAATGATAATGAGTCTGCATAGTTCAGTGTTACGGCACTGAGCGCTGAGTACCGCGATTCCTAAACCACAAGAGGTGGCGATACTCAATATGTGGAAAGGAGAACATGTGATTGAAGTGAAATGTGCAGATTGGAGGTTTAGCTCCATTTAAAACTACTCAGAGGCAGAAATTATGTAACTGGCTGATTCTTACGAAGGCAAAAAGTTATGTACTATAACTAGCAAGTTACAATCCCATAAATGGGATTCAAAGGGAGTTACAGTCCCATAAATGAAAAAAGATGTGCAGAACCTTTAATTTTTTTACTAACCCATTAATTTTTTCATGGAGTCTACTGGGTACTTTTACTTAAGTAAAGGATGTGAATTCTGTCTCTCACCTTTACTGCAACTGTTCACATAATACCTCAGTCCCTCTGGTGACAAGTAGCTCGTCCATCCCGGGGGAAGAGGCCGGCTGTCAGCCTCTTCTATGACCACAGCAGAACGCTCAGCTGCTGGCTTCTGTCATAAACAAAGAATAATTTCACATGAACTAAGCACATTTCCTGGTGTTTCCGTCTTGTAAAGCATACATTATTAAAAGTGGGGCTGAAAACCTATAGGGGATAATCAAAACAGTATAGTTCAACATCTTGAAACCAATGCTATTCCTGCATTTGGGCTGCACCGTAACACCCTTTAGAGGAGGCAATCCAGTTAGTTAATTACAATATTTGTAATTTATGTGTCTCCTAAATTTCTCTCCTGTGGGTTTTATGTTGTATGGGAATGACTTGTTCTATTCAGGACATATGCAGCTATTGTATATTCACAGATGAAGTAGTAACTCCTGGATTTTGGTACAATATTCACCATGATGTGGCCATTAACTATAGAGGATTCAAAGGTGTGAAAATAGAGAGTTAAATTTATCCTTTGTAATGGAACATTGTGTATAAAGTCTATAACATGCTGCTGTTTCGCTAACATTTATGTAAAATATTTCCACAAGCTTGCATATACAGTAAATGTAGGAGTCATGGCAGCCTCTGCAAAAAGTGATTTCATCAAATTCCCATTTTGCTTTTCAGCACTTCTCGCCTACTAAATAAAGGCATTATTCACATGGTGAAATATGATTGACTAAGTGGATAAATAGCAATAAATGCTCCTTCTCAGCAGTCCCTAGGAGCCTCCACCACCACAAAGCCATTTTAGCCAGGCACCACTCAGACTACACCGGGACAGATATTACTGCAGTGTGCTCTACAAGACAGACGGTGTTTTTAATCTGCAGTGATCGCCGGCTGGCTGTTCATTTTCAGACACATCGGTGCATGGCCTGTTGAGATCTGTCAGCTGAATCTGACAGAGAGCGACTGAACTTCAGGATGCTACACCCCAATCGGACATCTGAGGGTAGGCAGGTGGATGCAATAGGACAAATATATAAACGGGGAGATTATTAGCTGAGTGATAAAGGAATCGTGTTCTTTTGCTCACATGGGCAGCAGGGTAGAGTGGGCGGACAAAGCCATTTGATGTGCAACACTGAAGGATCTTTTCTGGCTCTGCTGTGAGAGCAGTAGAAGCTTGTCAGTTGCCTGTCAGCTTGTTAGCTGCTGAATTTACACTGAGGTGACAGAAAATAAAAAGTGACACTCTGTCTTGACCGTTAACACTGCAATGCTGGTCCATCTTATTTTATCAAAAAACATACATTATGACAGCTGAGGAGTCTTCATAACTTAATGACAAAATACTGTCACTGCCTTCCAAAAGGCAACATGACGAAGAGTTCACCTCTTCACTCTTAACGTCAAACTACTCTTTGTACTAGTAGAATGCTATATATTACACACACACACACATACTTGTGGACAAGGTCACAAAATCCCTGCATTGTTTGCTGAATGTTCCAAAGGTTTAAAGATAAACCCTTATGAGATTTTATCATCACCCATTGATATCTTTTTTTGTAAGGATTTCACACAACCTCTAGGCTGGCAAGGACAAGTGCAGTGGTATGATATACAGTATGAGTTTTTATAGGGAAAAAAATGTCTAGGATATCTTCCAAATCCCACAATCCTCTGGGATGCAGCTCTCAATGCAAGCCTGAAACCAGAATCTCCACTGCACCCACATTAGCTCACCAACTCAACAGGAAGAAACTAATAAGACAGGCTGTGTTAGACTCCTGCAGAAGTGAGGATGCCTTTCAACCTGGAAAATTACATTAATGAACCTCAGCCTTCTTATGTTGGTGAAGGAGAGGAGTTTGTGGCTACATTTCGGTGCTTTTAGTCTCTGCATCTTGTATCATTTCTAACATCCTGGCCTATTTTATACAAGAAAACAAACAGAAAGCTAACTTGTTTCTTCTCCTGCAAGCAGCAGTAAATAGCAAAAGGCCCCAGGGAAGAAAAAAGGTTGAAGAAAGTTCAAACTAGACAGCAGTCAGAGAGTGCACACCTCCACCAAGGCAGGTCAGCTCCCCACTATAAATACTATTCCACCCATAAGCAATATCCCCATGAGAGTTTGACCCTCATAATAAGATTACTTGACCATGAAACCTACCCCTGGCCTCTGGAATGACATTGATGGCATTATTATTTTTGAAAACTAGTCATACGTAAATGGTTGCAAGTCTGTAGCATTACTTGTCTTACAGTAGTAAGTTTTCCATGAGCCCTATAATCTGTCTATAAAGTCATTATGCAGAATGGCACATTTTACATTGGTGTATATAATATTACTTATAATAATATTAATATTTGATGCAATATTGTTTTTGCCACTTAATGTTGCACCTGGAAAAGGTGGAGCTAATCAAACTACTTCATATACTTAGAATTACTACTGGTTAGCTTGTGAATTTCCCCACCAGGGAGCAGTTAACTCTGACTACACTATTTTGTGTAGTTACTTTGATTCTGAAAAGTAACAAAATTACCTAATAAATAAGAGTAATAAGTAAAATGTAGTGAAGTCAAAGAATGAAATACCAGAAAATAAATACTGAAATAAAATTTTGAGGTATCTGTGCTTAAGTAAATGTACTTAGTTACTTTCCACCTCTGCCTCACAGCACACCAGATAGGTAAATATACTTGTTTATTTACATACAACAGTTTTTGTCACATCCAACGTCTTCATGTTCACTCATAACGAATCATGAATGAACCTGAATAAGTGGGAAGCAAGTTACTGTCAGTTACTGCTGGACTGATGTGAGGACAGATTAATTCTCTACTGTTAATCAGTTACAACTAAATCAAAAAGAAAAAATCATAACCTTCCTTTGATACTCGATATCTGCTTTATGTAATGGTGAAGATGCAAACTAAATAGTTTCACATATTGCATCTTCTTTCATTTAAAAATCTATTAGCTATAATTACTCTACTCAGTACGCAGCCCTTTACTTGTTTAAGAAACACATAAGACAGTTAAAATGAAGTTCTTACCATGCTGCTATGCTGCTGTGCTGAGGAACAACGCAACCAACCAGCCACTGGAAACATGAATGAGGGGAGAGAAGGGATTATGCAGGGTCATGGCAAACAGCACAGAGGGAATGAAGAGAGACTGAAAATCTTCCAGTGCAAGTCCCTTTTTTCCATATCTATAAAATAAAAGGCCTGGCAGACAGACGGGCTTTGGTTTTGATCAATACAAGACATTTTCTGAAGGGGCCTTGTTGAGAAGAAACGTCCAGTGGTTCTGACTCTATGTTGGGAAACAAGAAAGGACACTGTCAGACGGAGCTGTTATGTACTGTGACACACAACAAGGACTGTTCTGTCTTGCCAGCTTCTTCTTGACTGTTAAATCCGATTGAGCCTGTACATACCGAGTGCCAGTCTGGTCATGCTCAGTTCGAACAGATGAGGTCTGTCTGTCTCAGGGGCATTGAGACACTTGTGATCTCGCTGGGGTGCTGGGCCTGACCTTCTGGGAGCCTTAACATGGTTTGCTGGTTACAGATCACGTTACAGAACAATTAATGGCAATTAAAGTTGAAAAGGTCATTTTAATGAAAAGTGAGATTAATTTCAGATTTTCTTTATTTCATGTATTTCATACAGAAAACTGTGTAACATGTTGAGTGAATGTTTCTTTTTTCAATTTCTTTTGTAATTATTCTTGTAAAATGTTTCTTTGGTTTGAATAATATGAGTGCTACATAAATTGTATTTATTATTAACATTGTGGTTGTTATTTATTGGACAATTTCAACTCAAACGTGTTTCACATTGTCATCTCAGTTATGAAGTTTATAAATAAACACAAAATTTGTGTTAGCATGGAGTCAGTATTCTTCAAATGTGAGATTTTATGTTGTTAGAAGCTGCATCTAATTGCTGTTTCTTGTGCTAAATCCATGATCCATCCTTATCCAGGATGTGGAACAGGTTTGTGTAACTCAGCTACTGCATGTAAAGAAGGCTTTACACCAAGGACACGGTTGAGATGAGTCAGTTATCCTGTGGTGTATAACAGGTACTGTGCAGGTTTATTCTTTGTGTTTATACCTTTAAAAAAAACAGTTTCAAAGACAGTCCTGAACTCTGTGGCAAACACACACTTGGGTGAGTATAACGGCATCCTGGATTACATTTCAAACATTATTCACACATAAAGAATTTTAAAAATTATGAAAAGTGTCTTCATTTTGATTCTGAAGGGGAAATGAGTGTAGACGAGGAAATGGCAATCTCTGGGCCTGCTGCCCGGTTCCTCTGCAAGTCTGAGAAGGAGAGGACAGAGGTTCAGTCCCATTTGACAGCAAGACAGCATGCTTCATCAGCAATGACAAGGAGCTGTTCGTCAAGGCTGAGATCCAGGACAAGGCAGACGGCAAAGTCACTGTCAAGACCATCGAGGACAGAGTGGGTGGACTGAAGGGTTACGCTGCAACATGGCTTGGCTGATAAACTGGTTTTTTATTAGACACTGAACACAACCAGTTTTATAGCATGTCTGAGAAGGACTTTAATTCAGTGAAATGGAAAAGGATTTTACGCTGCTTCGGGGTATCTTTCTCTAAATCCTACCATAAAAATTATATTAGTCTGGCTTTCAATGGAGACATTTAGTCTCCCCTGAATCTTTAAATGCTGCTTCAGTTTCCACTAGGGTAAGATCTTGTAGGAAAATATCAGTGCACACTATGCTTTTAAAATTCATGAAGATACAAATATCCAATTTTATTTACAAGTGTCTTTTTGGCCTTCAAAAACTCTAATCTGTCTAAACTTTGTTGATTTTTTGATGGTGCTTTAGACTTGAATGACAAACATTTATGCCTTTGTTTTCCAGACTTTAACCATCAGGGAGGACCAAGTGTTTCCCATGAACTCCCCATCAAATTTGGTAAGATTGAGGACACACCTCCATGAGTCTGCAGTGCTTTTCGACCTCAGGAGCTCTACACAGCATGGATGATCTACATAAGTCTTTCAGCAAATACAGTATGATGCCAATCACTCAGGTAATATTAAAACAGGGAGGGGCCCTGATACGAACCAGAAGACAGAACTTGAAATGAAAACACATGAAAACTGCCAGTTGGGTGAGGTAATTATACATACATAGGTCAAAGTAAAAGGAAAAATAAAAAACCATCACAAAGAGGGCTCACATAATGACCTGGATGTAGACACAGTACTGTACTGTATGTGATGTTATGCAAAACAAAAGTTGCTTGCTCCACACACATTTTCCCACTTAAGATTTCAAAATACATCAGCCTGTGTTTTCCATTCCAGACCTACTCTGGGCTCTTCTGTGTGACAAATGGCTGCCAGTTTACAACCCAGAAGTAGTCTAGGCCTACAAAGGCAAGAAGAGGATGGAGGTTCCTCCTCACATCTTCGCTCTGTCTGATAATGTCTACCAGTTCATGGTGACTGGTATGTTTGTGGCCCAAAGTCAATGCAACAGAATAATTAAAATTTTTCCCCAGGTAATTACAGTCCGGTCTTTTTTCTCCCCCAGATTGTGAAAATCAGTCCATTCTTATCATGTGAGTTTAACAGCAACTTGGTGTATATAATGATAAACTTCTGACAGATAAAACAGTCAAAAGTTGAAGTACCTGTATGTGTTTTGTTTTTCCTTAGCCCATCGTCCCGTCAACACCAAACATGTCATTCAGTATTTTTGCGACATTTGCAATTTCTGCAGACAAGAAAAAGGAGAAAAATAATAATATGAAGGTGGGTTAATGCAGCTTTGGATCTAGCTGAGTCCATCATTTGGTTTTCAGAGGACGTGGGTGTCATATTTAAATGTTTACCCTTTAGCAGGGGACTCTGGAAGATCAAGCCAACCCGCTGCTGGAAGCTTTTTGGAATGCCACGACTGTGAGGAATAACAACTCTTCTCAATTTGTGAGTGAGCCTGAGGGACTTCATTTTTATTTGATTTGCCAAGAATAATATGTCCAACACAGAGATGTCACTTTTTTGTTGGATAGGGTAAATTCATCCGAATCCACTTTGGTGCAACTGGTAAACTTGCATTTGCAGATACTGAAACATGTACATTTATACACATTTTTTACAGTATATTGACGGTAAGATTATGCAGCTGCAACATTAAGTTATTTTTGCCTTTTCTTCTTTAAAGATCTGCTAGAAAAATCAAGAGTGGCATTTCAGCTGGCAGCTGAGAGGAGCTATCATATCTTTCATCAGCTCATTTGCAACAAGAAGCCTGTACTTATTGGTAATCTGATGAATCCTTTGCTTTATTTCATCATTCATTTTCTCATATTTAGCCCATTGCAGTTTCATGCAAATATTTTAATTTGATTCCTTTTCAGATTTCTCCCACCACTAACCCCTATGGCTTTGCCTTCATCAGTCAAGGGGGAATCAGTGTCAAAAGCATAAATGACGCAGAGGAGTTAATGGCCACAGATGTGAGTTGACTCAGTGAAAGGCTTGAATGTCTTATCCAGTTGCTTTATATCTGACTTGACCTATTTGACTTGGCCACGTTGCTTGCCATGTCCTCAGTTTCCATCTTCAGCTCATTCTTTTCTTCAGTTTCCTGCTTCATTCTGAAGATTCTCTATCTGCTCACTGAGTTCAGCAATGCTGTCGGCCGGTTTCTTGTGTAAAGCTGCAGTGATGGATTCGTGCTGCAAGGTGGACTCTTCCAGTTCACGGTGCAGCCTCTGAAACTTGAGCTCACGTTTCTTGTTCAGCTCAATCTGAGCAGCAGTGGCTCCTCCAGCCTCCTGCAGCCTCTCACTGATCTCCTCTAGCTCTCTGGACAGATCAGACCACTGCTTCTCTATTCTGGCTGAAAAGAGATGAGTGCTTGTTTTGAACAAAGAATAAAATTGATGAGGTATCACATCAAATAATGTGCCGCTGTATTGTTTTCAGTGTAATACAGGACACAGATGATTTGCAAAACACTATTTTCAATTCTAATTTTGATTTTACATACTGTCCGAACTTTTTCTGATTTGGGGATGTATCTCAACAACTATTGGCCATCAAACTTGGCACAAATATGAATGACTTGAATGACTTGGGTGATCTCTTGACTTTTCCTCCAGGTCCACATCAGATTCACATTTGTGGTTTTGAGTGAAATGTTTTAACATCTACCAGATGGATTGCAGTGAAATTCAGTACAGGTATTTAAGGTCCCTATAGGATAAATTCTAATGACTTTGGGGACCATCTGCTCTTTTCTGTGAAGCTGTTATTATGTTGGGCTTTTCAGTTTGTAAGTAAACACAACTTTGTGCAGGTGATCCTTTAGCCCCACCATGAGGCTGACGTTTCATAGAGTAAATGGTAAATGGTCTTATACTTGTATAGCACCTTTCTATGCTTTTACAGCACACTCAAAGCGCTTTCACACATTATTTGGCCATTCACCCATTCGCACTCCCAAGCACTCACACACCGGTGACATCACCGGGAGCAACGGGGGGTTCAGTGTCTTGCTCAAGGACACCTCGACATGTTGACTGGACAAGCCGGGAATCGAACCGCTAATCCTCCGGTTAGGAAACAACCCGCTCTACCTCTTGAGCCACAGCCGCCCCCCAAAGAGTGTCATCATTAGGTCAAAATTATAATTTGCCCAGTATTGAAATGCTTTGCATTTTTAGCAAATATTATGACGCTGAAACACTAAACTAAAACAGTAAACATGGTAAACATTAGCCTGTTAGCAGTGTCATTATGAGCATGACAGCATCTTGAAGATAACATCTAACTAAAAACATCATTGTGCCTAAGCCTCATAGAGCTGCTATCATGGCTGTAGACTCTTTGTTTTACTATGGATCTAGACATTATGACATTTTATTTATTGTTTATACCATCAATAAACATATTTTAAAAATTATATAATATTTTGAGTGATTGATTTACATCGGTATCCCATAGGGACTTTGGTTTGAAATTTCTCATCTGGCAATTTTTTATTGTTTTAAAGTTTATCTGTTTACATTTGCATGCAAAAATATAAATCATTCAAAATGTTTCGCTAACATATTTTTCTTAATATGTTCTAGTGTTGTAATTGTCATTTGCATTTGGTTTTTGTGCTCTCCTATGTATGTATGTATGTATGTATTTATTCCTTCATTATATTTTGCTCTTGCAGTGTCCAGGTTCCCTACAGGAATCAGTGAAGTCTCCTCCTATCGTACATTATTGTTCATTAGGTAGCTGCTGATTTTTTTTCTTCTTGTTCTCCTTATCTACATAACAGAACTAAATTGATACAAGCACATCACTTTGTTCTACCTGTGGCTGTGTTTTACCTACTGCTTGGATTTGAAGGTAATAGTCATTTTTCTCCTGGACAAGTGTAACCATCTTCTCCTCCAGCCCCTTCTTTCTCGCCTCTGACTTTGCAAACTCCTGACTGAGTTGTGAGAACTCCTCTTTCACGGTTTGCATCTCACTTTCAGCCTCCACACTGCATCGTTTTACCTAGAAGAAAAGTCTCATCCAAGGCCAGCTCTTAACATTCATAAAAGAATGAATGTTGCATTGGATGATGAAAATGGACCATCTGTAGAGTGAAATAACAAAACAAGAAAGACTTTAATTAAAATTATATTGAAAGGATTCAACAGTGAATGTGATGAAAAGCTTTTGGACCTTTGCAAGGTTTTCTACAACTACTTCAAAACATTTTCACTGCTACAATGTAATTACACTGCTCAGTGTAATTATGTTTAGTACGAAAAACAAAAATAAATATTTTGAGTTTGATCTGGGTAGAAAAAGTTATCTTAAAAGGTTTTATTGCATAGTAATCATGACTAAATTTTATAGGATGTGCATATTTTCCACTGCCATCAACCATGAAAATAAATTAAAATCAGAAATTCCAAATTGTTTAAATATTATTAATCAGGTAACATTAGGTAACTGCTTGAATGTATCAGCCTTTAATTTGTGGGAGAAAATATAGTAATGAATCAAACTTAAGTTCCAAATTTAATAAGGAAATGAATATGTCAAAGACCTTTTCTTTGACATCTCCTTCAACCCCAATCTGGTGACATAACCCCGGCCCACAGCCTGAATTCGATTCATCAGCACAGTCAGCCCTTCATCCCTCATCTCCTCCAGAAGACCCAGACGACCAGCTTTAAAAAAAAAACACCTGGATGTTTAGTGAAAGTTGACTTTATATCATTTGAGTTTCTGCTCATGACTTTTTATTGACAATGGAGAATTATATATTTAAGTAGTACCTTGACAGAAAAGAGTAAGATATTGAGTTGTTGTTTTGAAGCACTGGCATTCAGAATCCTATATCTGTTGCACAGACACGGTAGTTGTAGTTTCAAACCTGAATAAGATATATGTTTGCACATAAGTATAATCCTCCCAGACACCAGAAACAAGATGCTGGTGCGCTACCTCTGCCTGGAATCTCCATAGAGGATCCTGCTGGGACAGCACTTCCTGCCTTGAAGCAAACCGAACACTCTATCATGCCTCAACATTGAAATTTGACTGCAAGGAGGCCACAGGGTGTGAATTTTAGGGTCACAGGACAAGAGCAGGAAGAAATCCCCCCTGCTAGAAAATCATGCAGATGCACTCATCTGCATGAGATTAGGTGGCCAACAGGAGAGAGAAGGACTTGCCTTGAAATAAAACAGATGCAAGAAAAAGTAATGGCGCTGTTTGCAATTTCCTGGTTTTCTGCATATACATGAAATGTGATCGGACCTTCACCAAAGTCACAAATATCAACAAACACATTATTTCTAAGCCGATAAAACACAGTCATGATTTGTCATGTCTTTATTGAACACACCAATTAAACATGCAAAGTATTGACAGAAAAAATAATGGCAGCAGTTTAAATAACTGGATGAACCACCTTTGGTAGCAATAACCTCAAGCAAGTGTTTCCTGTAGCTGTGGATTAGACCTGTACAACATTCAGGAGGCGATTTTAGACCATTCTTCTTCACAGAACTGCTTCAGCTCAGCCATACTCTTAGGATGTCTGGTGTGAACGGCTCTCCTGAGGTCATTCCACAGCATCTCTGCTGGGTTGAGGTCTGGGCTCTAACTGAGCTGCTCCAAAGCTTAGAAATATTGTGTTTGTTATTTATGTCTTTGGTGAAGATCCAATCACATTTCATGACTGGTATATGCAGAAAACCAGGAAATTGCAAACAGCACCATTATTTTTTTTGTGGAACTGTATGAAAACATCTAATTATATTATATTTGATTCATAAAGAAGATACATTTCAGTCATTTTGTCATGTAAACTTCTTTCCTGGACAGGGATTAAACCCAGCACTCAAAGCAGAGACTGATCTGTGTCATTTTGG